CCCCAAAACCCCAAAACCCCAAAACCCCAAAACCCCAAAACCCCAGTATGAATCCTAAGCATTGAAACTTAAAAAATTAATGTCCTTCAAATACTGACACAGCTTCCATAGCATATAGTCCTGCAAAAATGGATACTGTATTAGCAATGGCCCAGGATAATTTGTTGCTACTTCTTAGATCATTTAGAAACAAGAGAAGAGACATATACACAAATGTGCCTCCTGAAATTGCGACCATTTCAATTGTTGCTTTTCCTCCAAAAGTCAAGCTTGCAATGGCTCCTAAAACTGCTCCTCAGCCTGTCAACAATTGATAAGAAAGAGCCTGGACATAGCTATATTTGTTCTTATAGAGATAAGCAAAGTCTCCAATTTCATGAGGAAATTCATGTATAAAGGTAGCTAAGGCAGTAACAAATCCCAATCTTGGGCTTAGCGCATAGGTGCTTGCAATGGCAAGCCCATCAGAAAAGTTATGGAAAAAATCCCCAAAGAAAGCAAGGATCACTTCTGAAGAATGACCTTGGTTCTCTTTATGGTCGTGATGCTTGTTATTAGAGTCGTTATGACAGTGATCACCAAAGAACCTATTAATAAATATTTCCAAGAGATATGACAAAATCATCCCTCCAATAAAGAAATAGTAAACACGTATTTGTTGGTGCTCTTCAAATATTTTCCCACCTTTAGTGTAATATTCGTTCAAAGAAGGAAAGATATGAAAGAACACATCTCCCATTAGCGAGCCGAATGTGAACGCGTACATTATTTGAACCAGCAAAGAATTCTTACTGTCTCCCACAAGAGTACTTAAGAACTTGTAGGTCGCTGACATTATTACGACAGGCACTGATTGAACAATGAGTGTTGCGATTATTGCCTGTGTTTTCCAGTCGTAATAACTTCAGTAAGCAATTAATTCATCAAATATTGGATTTGTATGAATCTCTTCTTCGTGGCTATGATGATGTCCTCCATGGGCATAAGCCACAATGGTGACACAAACCATTGTTAAGCTGGATATTAATAGTTTTACCAATATTGACATATATCTTAAATATTAATATTAAAAATTATTATATTATGTTAGAAATCATGATGGGGTTTTGGGGTTTTGGGGTTTTGGGGTTTTGGGG